TAACTACTAAAGATATGACAACTACTACTAATAATAAGTCTTTAGATAGTAGAAAGGTATTACCTATAAATCTTGTATATATTTTTTTTTTTTTTTATTGTATGTTTTAAATTTAACTCATATATTATTATTTTTATATAATTAATTTAGTCTCAGCCTAAGGTTGTTATCCCTTCTGTAACTTCTCTAAATGAAAAAATCCTAGGTTAATAATTATTTTATTTATTTATATATTATCTTCTTACTATATTAATTAACTATGTATTTTTTAATACTGATTCACGCATGTTGAACAAGATCTTAAGCATCAGGCAAAGTAATAAAGCACAACTTGAGCATATTGCTCGAAGCCAAGCGAAACTCAACTATCTTATAAACTAACAAAGATTGAAACTTGAAACGATCTTTAAAAAGTTGGATAATGCTGGGGAAATGTATAATTCGGTCAAGGTTAAAAAAGAGAAAAAACTATTAAAGAAAATAGCAGATTCTTTATTTCAAGCAAGTTCTTATTTTTAGTATTACAGTATTATGTTGACATCTATGCTTATTTGTTTTATTTGTTACATGTACTTTAAAAAGTAATTCGACAACTTTCATCTAAATTATTTCATGAACATAAGCAAATAAGTGACAAAGAGGTGAAAACACTGCTCAAAGATAAGTTGGAAAAAGAAGAAGATTGTGCAGAGCAATTACGATGTTTGAAAGAAAAAGGAGTTTCATTTGATAACTTGTGGAATGATAAATTTTACTCAGATGTCTGTATCGGTATCCTTTACTTTTATTACTCTGCTGGTCATTTCTCTTACAGTTCATTTACCTGATATGTATCAACAGATCAATTAAACATTACAGCATTATAATATATCGGGTAAATGACCTATAGGAGAAATGATTGTCAAACTACATTAATATTTGTTAAATTTGCATACTAACTCTATTTTTAGATATTTTTGGTAAATCGTGTCAAGAAAGGGTACTATATTCGTCGAATTAAAGAAGGTCTCTGGGGTACCTTTGGCATTAGTAAGGTCAAACCGTTTACCAAATGTGATGCTAAAGAGCAAATGAAAATGTGAAAAGAGAACTCCAAGAATGTTTATGAAGATTTATACAAACCAAGTGATCCAAATGATCCAAATTCGGATACTTGCATTAATTATTAAATATGCTTTTATTTCTGAAGATGAACGCACCCATGCCAATGCAATTTGGACACAGGCCATTCTTGAACTTATTTTCGACAAAAATTATCTTTTGGCGAAACTTAACTCTGACGTTGTTGATACATGGTATCAAAGAATCAAGTGATACAGCAGTATAATTATTTTTTTTAAAATATACAATTATATATATTTTTATTTATTTATTTATTTATTTATTGTTATTTATTTAGTTATTTATTTATTTATATTAAGTTTTTTTTTTTTTTTTTTTTATATAAAAAAAAAAACGCATCTAAGTGTACTTTATTTATATACATATTAAGTTACAAAGATTATACAGAAAGTTCTATAAAGTCAAGAATGTTTCTGCCACTACCCAGCTTTTTGCGGCCCTTGCAGCCAAGCATCCTGTGTAGAAGATTAATTTCAAATTTTATCTTGACCCTTGTTATATTTGCAATTGCTAATTGAGGGATAACATTATCACCCCACTTGGCTTGCGTGTACTAGCACCAGATCTCATAAATGCAGATAATGTGTAACCAAATTGCAGTTTTGTGTTTCTTGACTTCTTTGATATTGGTTGCTCTGAAGATATCATCTAATGTTCGAGGAATTGAATCCTCTTCTGTTGTCTTCAGAGCTTTGCAGGCAGTCTCCCAAATAATTTTACTTATAGGGCATTTTAAAGCAAAATGTTCGATAGTTTGTGTATAGTAGAGGCAATTAGGGTAATCCCCAAGGCCATTAGGATCAATGTGTAACAATCAGTACCCAAGAGGTAAGGCCCTATGCATGAGGCGCCAAAAAGTGTCTTTCTTCTTGTTAAGACTCCATTCAAATTTAATCCATTTAAAAGCTGGTAGTTCGTATAGGCTTTTTAGGGCCTTACGAACTGTGAAGTATTAACCCTCTATTGCACCTATTTTGAGATTACTAGGTTCCCATGGCCAGGTGTCTGTTGCTTTGATTTTTCCCTTAAATCTCTTCCAGGCAGTTAGATAAGGTTTTCATCTTTCCGGCCAACCTTTAATCTTGCAAGGGTTTTGTGATAGTGCCTCTTTAACTGTGATATTCCTTTTGTTGCGAATCTCTGCTGCGATTATTTTTCTTTCTGCCATAGCCTATAAAGAACTGCTAAACAGCAACTTGATCCAAATTGAGAGAATTCTAGCATCAAGCATGTCTTTGAGAATTGGCGCAGATAGACATCCCTTCTCGTAACCAAGTTGGAATGTTGAATATTAGGGAAGTGTCCGTGAATTATTCTTAATCCATTTTTTTTATAAGCGAGTCAATTTTTTTAAGTTGTCCTCTTGATAGTGGAAGAAGATATGCCAGGTACTATATCTTGGAAATAAGAAGTGTTTTGGCTGCAAGGATCTTTCCTCTGAATGATAGGTTTCTTTTAGAGAGCTCCTCAATTTTTTTCTTGACTTTTTTTGTCATTTCACTCCAAAGGGTTTTGCTAGGGTTACCTTTAATGTCCATATTGTACTCAAGGAACATGAAGTATTCCTGGTCGTTGGCTAGGGTTTTAAAGTTATGTTGCTCTGAGAGTTCAACTCTACTAGCGTTGTTTGTTAATGGTATAAGGATTGATTTGTGTTTGTTAATTACAGCATTTGAGGCTTTTTCATAATTGCTAAGAATCTTGAGAAGTGTTGACCAGTCCGAAGGAGAACTAATCAGTGTTATAAATTCAAAAAATTTTTATTGGTGCAAATGCAAAAAAATGTGCACAAAAAAAAATTTTATACGCGTGCTATATATACGGAGAGTACGCGCAAATTTAAATCTATGTACGCTGCGCCTACTGCACGAACCCAATTTACATCACTGGAACTAATTCCAATTGAAAGATCGTCCGCATATGCGGCAATTTTAAAGCTTGCATCACTAATCGGGATGCCCCTAATGTTCTGAGTGATGGTCCTTATTAGAGGGTCAATAGCCAGAACGTATAGAAGGGGAGAGCAGGTCTCCTTGTCTTACCCCTCTCTTCACCCTGATAGGTTTTGAAATTTGGCCCGAATCAACTATGTGTGCGACTTGTGAGGAAAATAAGGTGTTGACTACTCTAATAAAGTTGTGGTCGAAATTCATTCTTTCTAATACTATACGTATGAAATCATGGTTAATTCTGTCAAATGCCTTCTGTTGGTCTAGCAAAAGAAGCCAGTGCTGTTTCGATTGGTTGTTTTGGTTTCTTAGCACTGTGAGGATATCTAATGCTAAATCAGTAATAGATCTGTTGGCTATAAATGCCTGTTGAGCTGGACCTATAATTTCGTTGCAGATTGGATTAATTCTGTTTGCTAGTATTTTCATAAAAATCTTCACATCAGCATTAACCAGCGAAATTGGTCTCTAGCTATTAATGTTTTCTAAGTCATTGTTTTTTTTAGGGATCAAGGTGACCAAGCTTTTGTTCCATGACTTGGGGATTTGGCCTTATGAGAGGACCTCATTAAAGAGTTTAACTAGTATTGGAACAACAGCATCTTTGGCGTCTTTGTAGAATTCATATGTAAGACTATCAGAGCCTGGGGCCTTATTATTTGGGAGTTTATGTTTGATTAGTGCATAGTTATGTTCCGAGAAGACCTGAGCCAGGTTTTCCGTAAGCTGAAAAGCCAATTCCTTGTCTATTGTTTCCTTTTTATAGACCTCTTGGTAGAAATCTTTGATGTAATTAAGGGTTTGTATCTGGGACATTCCATTTGTATTATTAGGATTTTTTACTTTTGAATAGCTTGTTTTTTCTTATCTGATACGCCACCTTTCTGAAAGAATTGCCAGTTCCTCTTGTAGCTTTAAGTTAAGATCCTCTGTAATCAGTTTGAGATCAGTTAAGGCAGGGTTTTGGGCTATCTTATTGTTCAGGTTACAAAGTCTTTTGTGAAGCCTCTGGATGTTCCTTTCTGGAGGAGAACCGGGCTTATAAGCTCTTATTATAGATTAGATTGAACATTTACAAAAGTCCCAGTTGGAGATGTTTTGGGTTTCTTGAAGTTCTTTCATTATATCGATTTTTAGTTCTGGTATGTCCCAGGATTTTCTATCAAACCTCCATTGTGCTCTGTTGGTGTGTGATGGCTTAAAGTTAAATTCCGATTCTACTAATGAGTGGTCAGAGTTTCCAAATTTTGTATTGGTGTTTTTGCAAAGATGGCTGTGGTTTGCCTCTATGAAAATATAGTCGAGGCGTGTTGCCATTCTTTGACCATTGTGTGTGTGGATTGGTAGAACATAAGAAAGCTCTCTTTAGCAAACAAAGCTGTGTTAGTATATTCGGCCAGAAGGGTTTGTACAATGTCCCTTGAGCGATCAGATTGTGTTGAAGCACTGCTTATTCTATCATTTTGTGGATCCAAATTCGTGTTAAAGTTACCGGCAATGATGCATATTCTTTCTTCTGCTATGGGTGGAATCCAATTTTCAAAGAAGCAAACTCTATCTTCACTCTTAGGTGGAGCATAGATGTTTGTAATTTGAAATGGTTGTTGTTTAATTTCTGTATTGACCATGATGATGTGACTATCTTGTGATTCTCTAACCATAATGAGCTCAATATTTTTTTTTCCTGCTAATATCGCAGTTTTTGAGGACCAAATTGAATTGAACCCCCATTGTTGTGCTAAAAAGTTTCTTGTTTTGATGTCTTTTAGGTTGGTTTCCTGAATTAAGATGATATCGAGATTATATGACTTTAAAAGTGTGAGTATTCTTTGTGCTTTAGATCTATTGTTTAGACCTTTTATGTTAAGTGTAGCGATTTTAAACATGAAGATATATAAGAAGAAAGGGTTACACTAAGAGGAAGTAGTCTTAGTGTTGGTTCCTTAGCCCTGGTGCACCCCGAGAGGTGATCTCGTGGACTCTGTGTTGTTGACCTGGGTGCGTAAGTTTCTTTTCCTCCTCTTCTTTCTTGTTGCTATTTTTGTTGTTTGATTTCTTGTAAGAAACTACTATAAATGGTGTTTCTTGTAAGGTGTTTTGGGATGAACTTGGTTCTTTTAAGTCCGTTAGGACTTCTATTTTTGAGGCAATTGGGGCAGTTTTATCCAATTCCTCCGCTGCTGATTCAATTTTCATTTTTTGTGGTACCAAACCTGTATTGTTTGGTGTTGGAACCTCTATTATCTCTGCCATTTCTGTTTGGGCTTCACCCTTTGAATTTGTTGAGGTATCTTGAATATAAGGGTTATTTGGGCTGAGAATAGAAATTGGAATTGGAGTATTATGAGCGATCATTCCTTTTTTTTGTAGTTTAGCTTCTTTTAGTAAATGTCTTGCTTCTATAGATGCTTTAAGTTCATTACATTCTTTTTTGATATGGCCCTCTTTTTCGCAGTAATAGCAGACCTTAGAGGCTTCCTTCCATTCAGTTGTTACTTTATGTTCACCTACATGGGTGCATCTTGGAATTCTGGAGTATAAGTCCGGGTCATCTGTTATTTCGAGCAGATTGTTGTCCCCTCATATAAGAGTAGTTTTATTGCAGCAACCTGGCCGACATCTTGAAATGCTTCTAAGATAAGTTCAGTAGTATTTTCTAAGTCCCACATTGGTGTATTTTTGAGTTTCACCGTGAGAAAAGAACACTTGAGGTTAATTGGGATGTATCTAAAAAATGTTTGCTAAAAGATAGTAATCCCTTCTGGGGCATAAAATTGTGCCTTTTCTTTGCTTTTAAAGACTAACTCGAGAGAGACTCTTCTCCCTTTTACTAAATGAGTCTTAGCTGCTAATAGGTCGCCATTGAGTTTCAGTGCAAGTGTTGCGATTATGTCATTGGTGGATATATTAATCAGGTTCTGTATGTCGATTATCAGTGCATTGTCATTTTTGGATAGGATTTTGTGTCTGTTGGTAAAACTAGCTTTTCCTCCCTTGAGCTTGGGAAAGAGGTCTGTCTATTGCTTTGTTTTAATTTCCTTGACTGGAGGTGTAGATGCGCTTAGTAGTTGAAACTATCTCTTTGTGTTCCAGATCAATCAAAATTTCACGGTTTTGATTGGTTGAAGATAACAGGTAATTACCGGGTAATCTCGTGATGTGCACAGCTTCATGCAATTTTTTCTTTACATTATCTCGACTATTTATTATGTAAATCGACATTAATTTATAATTGGAAAATATTAACCACATCGAAATTTACCCAAATCCAATAAAAACTCAATTTTCATTTTTAGGCCATTTCCCGCCCTTCTACTGCAAGGACTCCATATAATCTATTGTAGTTAGCCAAGCCGATTTTTCAAAAAATCAGCTAACTAAGTCGGCCAAGCCAATTTTATCGACTAATGTGAAAATGACTACAAACACTAATTATCCCTTAAACTGTCTATTTTAGCAAGCAAATTTGCCTTCTAAAATTTTTAAGAAGTTTTTAAAAATTGGTTCTGATTTATTTTTATCAAAAATTAAGTTATTTTTAAATTTTTTTTTTATTACATTTTAATAATTTTAATTTTTGTATTTATATAAAAAAAAATTTTAGTTGACTATAAACTAAAAAAATTTTAAATTTTTAAAAATTTCTGATTTTTAAAGATTTTATTTTCAATTATAGACAAACTTTTAAAAATTCCAAGAATATGTACCCAATAATCTTGATACAAATTATAGATTAAGTTATTATAAACAACTTTTATTATAAAAGTTTTTATAATTTTATAATTAAAATTTTAACTTTTATTAATAGAGAAAAAGTTTTTCCTCTTAATTTTTAAAAAGTTTTGAAAAAATTTTATAGTAAAATTAAAGAATTAGCTATATTTAAACTAATTTTTCATTTATTTTTAAATATATACATAATTAAAATTTTAATAAATATTAATTAATAATATGCTAAACTTTTATTTTAGCTTAGTAATAGGGTATTTATCCTTAATAAAATTTTTAGTAATTCTAAAAAAACATGTTAAAAAATATTCTAGCAGGAATATTTGCCCGCTGGATGGTTTAAGAGATAAATTATCTGCCATTCTTCACTAAGTTACTTATTTAGATTATAAATTTAACTAGTAAGTATAAAATAATTTGCCAATCTAAGTACTCAAAAACAATTATACACTTCTTATTAGTTTATTAGTTTATTGCTTCATATCTAAAATTTTCACTTAAAAACATTTATAAATTAAATATACTTATATGAGTAGTACTTGAAGCTTCATCTGTAAAGAATCTTCTACTGTCTATTAAATGATAAATCACATATATTTTTTTTATGTTTAAGCAATTCTGCCTTTATTCATATGAGCTGTTATATAATTTATATACAAATGTACTAAATCTTTACAACTTGTAGCTCTAACTCAATAAAAACTTACCAGGCTAAAAACCCAATGTGATTTGCTATAACAACTATTAGTCTCACTTGTGATCCAAAACTTACTTCAGATTTTAATCATTGAAGTGATGCCTCTCTCAATCATTGACAAGCTGTTGTATACCGCATCAGGTTTTCTTTTTCCCTTCTAATTCTTCTTTCTTCTCAAAAGGCATGAGGCAAAGAGAAAAATTTTTTAAAAGAAATATACAAAAATAACCAGAAAAAGAAAAAACAGAAAAGAAAAAACACTGATTGTGAAAAAAAAATATAAAAAGAAATCTAAAACCCTGAAGGTACTATAAAAATTATATACCAAATACAATATTTGTATATCTCTACTGCAAAGCTTCACCTTAACATTAAATTTACTTTTTAACCTTTCCATCAACTCCAGATAGCTCTGTTGCCCAAGAAGTAGTGCCATATTCATCTATAAACAAACACGTGGTTGCATTTTGCTAATCTGTCTGAATTTGGAAAATAAACAATGCTGATCTTTTGAAGGGGGTAAGCCAAATCCCCCACTTTTTGTAAAAAAATTTGGAAGGCCGGCAGGAAAGCGAAAATAAGTAAGAGAGAAGTCAAAAAGTGCAGCTTAAGAATAGCAAGTTCTTTACTGTTCTCTGGTTATTTCACAACAAATTGCTTTATCAACAGAAAAAAACCATAATTCCCACCAAAATTTCGTATACAAGGGCGCACTTCCCTAGCCAGTTATCTTGTATAAAGATGCTTTTGACTTGCATGTCAAATATATAAAAGAGTCCTCATAAAAGCACAAAAGGTTGACCTTTATAAAAACTGTACTGTTGTCTTCTACTCTCCAGTATCCAAACTTGACTTTTCTTTCGTTGAAAATTTTGGCCCAAGTAATCATCAGAAAGAGTTGCTGTTTTATTTATCACATATATCTTTTAGATTGTATGGAATTCGAATTTGCATAATTATTAAATAAAAATTTGTCTAATAACTAAATTTAGATCAGGTTCTAGTGATTTATAGCTATCAGTATATTTTTATATACTGTAATAAAGTATTAGATGGCAAGTATAGGCTTTTAAAAATATCATCTATAATTTTAAATTTTACTTTTCTAATAATATATACTTATTTTCTAAATCTTTAAATATTGGGCTATTAGTATGTATAAACATCATTTCTAGAATTATCAGTTGACACTAATTCTCTATTAAACTATTTATACTCTCTATTAAATTATTAGACTATAAGTGACTTTTAGAATTATTATATATGATTTTAAACTTTACTAATAATATATGTTTATTACTAGAGAGTAAGTATAGAGTCTAAAAATATTTAAATGGTTTTACATTTACTTTTCTAATAATATATTATTCTATTAAATTACTAGATTGTAAGTTATAAAGTTCTAAGATTTTAATTTTTTAAGTGTAAGTATAGAGTTATAAAAATGTTTATATAGTTTTAATTTTCATCAGGAAGTTTTAAAAGCATTTAATAAATATTAACTAACACACAGCATTAGTTAATACTCAAAAGTGTAGGAAAACGAACCCTTCATAGCTTAATGTGTTGAAAAATCAGTATACTAATGCATTAAACAACAAATTTTGTTAACCAACATGTTTCAAAACAACATTTGTTTATGTTAAACAATAAATTTTATTAACTAACATGTTAAGAAACTGCATATTTTCATGTTAAACAACAAAATATAGTTAACTAATGCTATTTAAAAGCTTAAAATTACATATTAAAAAACATCATCTGTTAATAACTTTATTTATTTGCCGATAGTTAATACATGTAATAAATGCAATATTGCTAGCTAATAAACTAATAAAAAATTATATAG